CAAATATTTTATCGGGAGCGTTTATGCTGGTATGTTGTGGAGCTTAGGACATATTACAGAACCATTTGATGTAAATTTCTTCGATGTACTGAAATAAAATCTATATAGATTACTTTTATGCGGGCTTTAGCGGGCGGGAGCGGGACAAAACATGAATGTCGCGGGACCAGATAAGATATATTTCTGCGGGAGCGGGCGGGCGCAGGACAGAATCTTGCGGGAGCGGGCGGGCGCAGGACAGAATCTTGCGGGAGCGGGACTGAAAAGTCCGTCCCGCGCAGGTCTCTACCTCGTGTCTATATACTTTTTAGGCTGACTTTGTAGACTTAATTTCAGTGAAAACATGTCTTAGTTGTGCTGGCTGTTGATCAGATTTTAGATTTTAGAAAAATAATCTTTTAGAATGCAAATCAAAGGAAAGATCAATATCATGTCGGTATTTATTTTAGTTTAGTCCATGTTGCATAATGCTGGCATGATTAATTTTATACAACAATATATTCGTAACATTTGTTTAGGGTTGTAACGATATAGCGGTATGACGGTTTATCACGGTTTGAACGCGCACGGTTATCATACCGTAAACATTTGCATATCTACGTAAAAAAAAATCTCACCCGCGCGTGTGCAATGTATTTCCGCTCGGCTGCTTCACTCTGCATTCACTCGGCTGCTTACACGCACGTGCGGCAGAGAAAATGACAGAGACCGAGATTATATCTCATCTCCATCCCCGCCGAAAAAAAAGTTAATATCTGATGAATGGATAAATCAAAAGTAGATATGATATGAGTCTGTGAATATTTAAGCGCAACGAGACTGCTATATGAATAATCTGCTTGTTTCTGCATGTCTCTGAGTGGCGGCGTTTTATCTACTGCGTACTGAAGTATGCATGATGCTAATGGTGTTTTCAGCGTCTACATAAACATGAACATCAGCAGAGCTGCTCTGAGAGAAAACTTAAACATTTCCTAGTTTTATTTGAGAAAAACCATTGTCAAATACACAGGTCCGCTACAACCCGTCAAAATAAAAGTTCGATTTAACTTGAAATTATGACAGAAATATATTAGCATTGTATATTAGCATGTGAATATATTAGCAATGTGCTTCAAAGTTATAATAACAACAATAATAATATTCTTTATAATAAAATAATTTATTTAAACATGGTTTTTAAGGATCATCATGTTTGTCCATGTTTTAACTTAAGGATAAAAGGAGTTTTACATTTTCATTTGATAACATTTTAAAACATTAATTAAAATGTAAATGTGTGATATAGATATGCATAAGGTGTACAGCTTTATTTTAGTTTTTTTTTTAATTATTTATTTATTCATAAAGGAGACTTCAATACTTTCATTAAAATGGTTTAAAGTTTGTTGTAATAAAGGATTTGTTCACTCAAATAACTTGTTCTTGTTCTTTTAAGAGTCATTGTTACTGATAAGAATTATTGTTTAATATATACCGTGAAAACCATGATATTTCCTGAGACGATTATCATACCGTGAAAAGCTCATACCGTTACAACCCTACATGTGTTGCTGGTTTCAGAGATACACAGTATAGTGAAGTGAAGTTAGACGTGGAGCAAGAAAGCCCCAGATTACTCTCTGCCGTTACTTCTGGAAAACATGTTCAGGTGTGAAAGCTGATCATTTGTGTCTCGTGCTCCACAGGCACGAGGTGGAGGCCTACATCAAAGCCAAGTACGTGGAGCGCAGGTTTGTCCAGAGACTCTCCGAAGACGAGATCAGACAGAAGGTTTCAGCACTGAGTAAACAAGATAAACCTCTCAGCGGCTGTTCGGATGCTCGCCCTTCAGGAGGACCATCAGCGTCTGCTTCATCAGGTGAGTGATCCCAACATCAGTGTGATCTGTCTGCTCTTTCCTGCAGTTTCACACTCTGTGGGGTCCATTTAACCTTTGCTTTGCCTTGCCGTGGCCCGTTTACCTGCTGTTAACTTCCGTCAGCATCCATGCGATGTGTTTGGACCACCGTGGACAGATGTTTGTGGTGTTTTACTCTGTGTCTGTGTGCGATCCTAACGCTGCTCTGGGCTTTTGTGTTGCTGAAGCGAACCACGAGTCTCTCTTCTGTGTAGACGAGCTCGATTCTCTCTTCTCCTACTTTAACACCTCCGCCAAGCCCTGCTGTCATAAGTACAGCTGTGTGTCTCTCCCGCCGTCCTGTTTCAGTGTCAGCATTCAGCACAATTCACAGTCACTGCTGCCTCACTTTTATTTCACCAGTGTGAATTTGAATTGAATTGAATCCAGGGTTATTAAATTAAATTAAATTAAATTAAATTAAAAATTAAATTAAAAATTAAATTAAAAATTAAATTAAATTAAATAAAACAATTGTTAATTAAAATGAATGTTAACTGAAATAAAATATAAAAATCTTCATCTTATTTTATTTCAGCTTGTTAATAAGGTAGCATTTCTCATTTTCATTTAGTTTAACTTGTTTTACTAAAACTAAATAAAAAAATATATATATATAGACATTTAAAAATAACAAAAAAATAATAAAAATGACAAAAACAACAAAATTAAAGCTTAACAAAAATTAACACAAGAGCAAAAAACATAAAAAACAAAAAAAAAAAAATTTATTTTGTTAATATCAAAATAGTATAATATCAATAGTATTTTAAAGGCACAATATGTACGATTTTTTTATTAAAATATCCAAATCTTCATCTTATTTTATTTCAGCTTGTTAATAAGGTAGCATTTCTCATTTTCATTTAGTTTAACTTGTTTTACTAAAACTAAATAAAAAAATATATATATATAGACATTTAAAAATAACAAAAAAATAATAAAAATGACAAAAACAACAAAATTAAAGCTTAACAAAAATTAACACAAGAGCAAAAAACATAAAAAACAAAAAAAAAAAAATTTATTTTGTTAATATCAAAATAGTATAATATCAATAGTATTTTAAAGGCACAATATGTAAGATTTTTTTATTAAAATATCCAAAAACCACTAGAACGGTGTTATATATTTTGCTGACTTGTGTACTTAAATTATCCCAAGTGTTTCAAAGAATGTTTAAATCCAGAGAAATAAGCAATTTTAACTAGTGACACGGAGCGTGTCTATAGTGTCATTGTGTTATTGTGTCGCCTGCCAATGACGTCATAACTAGAGATCGACCGATATATCGATTTACCGATATTTTTCCCGATATTTAAGCATTTTACAATAATCGGATATCGGTTTTGTAATATCGGATTCACCGATAAACGCCGCCATCTTGTAGATGTTTTGAGAATTGCGTGCAGGATCAACACTGCAGTGCGTCTGAGGGGAAACAAGGCAACAACAACGGCGTGCACAGGTACTTGATTTACTGTAGTTAGTAAATTTTATTTAACATAACAGCCATTAATGCACAAATTAGATGTATTACATAAATGCCTGATATGCAGTTTATGCAGCTTGGCTCGAAAAAAATGGAGATGAACTCACGGAGTCATGTAAGATAATCCGTCAAGTCCTGTCCCAATAAAGACGTAACTTTGCATGAGTTAAATAATACAGCCATGAATGAGCGCATGTTGGAAATAAAAAGAACGACAAAAACATTATTAATAATTCTGATGTAACATGCCAGTTGAGAAATGCAATAAAATACAATGTTTTGTTTGTTATATTTCAATATTCCAGAGAATATTATTCAGTGAATTAACATTATCCAGTGAATTATTCTTCACTCTTTAGCCTATTAAACAGCTTATAAACCTACTAAAACTGTCGTTTAAAATGAAGTTGATATGACTCCATTCAATTATTTATTTTCTCCATTTGAAAACATTAGACCTTCTACTTTTATTTTGCTTATTGTTAATATTAGTGTTGCTGCTGATGCTTTAAATAAAATGTTTTTTTTTAATTGTTGTAATGTGAAGATTAAATTTAACATGACAGACTGCTCATTTTCAACACTTTTTTTTTTAAGTTGGCTGAAAGGAGGAAAAACCAAAGTGAAGCATGGACTTACTTCACTCAGTCATTTATTTACTTTATAACAGTAAATAAATATCGGTTCTGCATATCGGTTATCGGGCACATAAACATGCAAATAATTGGTATCGGTATCGGTTATAAAATATCAATATCGGTTGATCACTATTTAAGTGTAATGTCTATTTTTCCCATTTTATTATCTGCTGGCACAGATAGTAAGTCAAATTGTTTACAAAAAAATAATAGCACATCCCTTTCAACAAGCCGCACGATTCGAGGTATTATTTGTCTGCACAAATAGTGAAGTTTCATTCTTATCAAGGGGAGTTTGTTGAAAAGGTTTCTGTGTTAAAATACCAATAAAAATGAGTGAATTCACCCATTTTTCTCTCTTGGGTCTATAGAGTTGAAGGATTGACTGGCAGATGAGGAATACAAGTCTGTGTGTGTTGGCAGGGAACAGTGGTTCGGTTCAGTTCATTTCAGTGGCCCTTGTGACCTCAAAGTGCTGTCAGCAGTTTTAGGGTTCAACGTTGACAGACAGACACACAGAAACACACACAATTGAACACACAGCTCAATCTGAACAGACCCTACACAAAACAACACCTCCAGGAAAGAGATTTGGAGCAACTCTTTCTCCTTTGCTGTCTCGACCGTATCAATCCAGTCAGACCTGCACAAATGTATGTGTTTGACAGAAAGCACCTGCAATGCCTCTAATGCCCCAAGAACATAAAATAATTTCTGTCTCTCTTGACCTTTCATGTTTAACAGTTCATACTTGTAAACTACCAAGCACTTCAGCAAACATTACTGAATGCAGTGAAGATGTACATCATGCAATAATGTCAGCCGATCTCTTCAAATCACCCACTAGTCAACAGCAAAAAGACACGAGCTGAATAAAGAAGATTTACACACAAATTTATGAAATGATATTAGCACTGTAATGTTTGCGTGTCCTTCAAGCAAACAATGGGCTTTACCGCCTTGAGATCAAAGTCAATTTGTATGATCAGTTAAACAGGCGTCTTTCTTCCAACTGGCGCTTTTATTTGACCGTAAACTCACAGAAATACAGCTTTTGTTGATTTGAAAAACGCTTGGTGAGTATTCATCATCATTCATTATTACGACAGAAAAGAAGTCATCTGAATGATGATGACTTGAGAAAAAGACTTAGAAAACAGTAATTCTTCAGTGTCAATTCTATTCAGAGTCTAATAAAATAAACATTTAAACACGATGCAAAGACGGATGGCAAAGATGGATGGAAGGGAGCAAGGAAAGAAGGAAGCATGGATGGACGGATGGATGGATTCCACACATCTATCCATCCATAGAGGGATAAAGGAAGAATAAATGGATGGATGCATAAAGTGATCAAGTAAAGAAGGATGGATGGATGGTTGAATGATGGATAGATAGATAGATGGATGGAGTGATAAAGGAAGGAAGTAAGGAAAGAAGGATGGATGGAAGGATGATAAGAGTGATAAAGGAAGGAAGGATGGATGGATGGATGATGATAGAGTGATAAAAGAAGGAAGAATAAATGAATGGATGGATGGATGGAAGGAAAAAAGGAATAAAGAAAGACTGTCCCTGAAATAAGTTTTTGTTTGACATTGCGTGAAAGTTGCAGAAACAAACTCCAGCAGCCCTTGATATGTGACAACAAATAAAGATTCAGTATTCAATATCGAATTCCTCTGTCTGAATACATGTGTGTGTGTGTGTGTAAAATAGTATATCAGTCTGGCGAGTAAACAAAAAAATGTACTAGCCAATGGCGATTATATTGCCAAGGTGTGCGTAGAGGGTTGCTCACCCTGCTTCATTCTACTACATTAATAAATCATTAGCTCATTCATGAACATGATTTCTGCCCGAGTCCCGTCGGATTGCATCGGCTGTGGGGATGAAGACCACAACTCCCATGATTCCACACTCAGTCACAGCGTCATCAAACTAGCCTTTGTCTCTGTTTATTTTGAATAAGCGCCCTCTAGCGGCGAAAATTACATATTGTGCCTTTAATGATACTAAAATAGCATTGAATGACAGGAAGATAAATGTACTGAATTGCAATTCAATGAAATTCAATAGTCATACAAAAAAATTTAGACAAAGTAATACATTTTCATGAATCATATTATACTTAATTATAAACATAATTAACTAATATTATTAATTTTGACTAATTATGCCTATTTATTGCCATTCATATATCCGATCATGCACAATAGATTATTTTACACAGTAAAACACAATAAATGCTTTTACTTTCATATAATAAATGTTATTCCTCATACAGTATGTAGATACATTTCTTTAATTGATTAGACAGGTTTCTTAAAAATGAAATTGAATACTGCCAGAATGATTATTACAACCATAAAACAGATTTTACATTTTGCATGAGCACAAAATCCCCACAAATGTATCTCTTCACTTTATAAAAGTAAATGCTGACATCAAAATGTGAATCTGTTCATTATACATTTATACTGAGCTGTAACCTCTTAAAGGTTTTAAAAATAGACCATCACAAATTTCTGATTTCAAATATTGATTATATTGATTACATTTTAGTTTTTCTGAATTTCCCCATTTGATGTATGTGAACATGAAAAATGAAATGTAGTATTAAAAACTGCTACTACTAGTGGTTTTCTGATCTTCTTTGAATGTTGTTCAACTTTAATTCTCCATATTAAAATTCAAATTCAGTAATTTCGCATCCTGATTGCTAACTCGGTTCAAGTTTAGACCGAATTGCGTGTTAAGTTGAATTAAAATTCTAAAATGTGCCCAATCAACGCCCTGCTGGCTCTCTATGAAGAAAACGTTGCATCTCTCCATCGCTCAACATCAACATACATTTTCAAGTTTATTTGTAAAGCTCTTTTCATGATGCAAATCGTTGCAAAGCAGCTTTACAGAAAATTACATTTCTACATTATATTTAGTACTAAATTCCCATTTCCATTTCCATCGCTCTTGCCTGTTTGTCTTCTCTGTTGGACGTTTTTGTGCACTTCCACTTGTTTTCCTGCATCACGCTGTGTTTGGTGCTGGTTTGCACACCGTGTCACAGAAGAGTCTGTGTGTAAGTGTAACTCTCTGTTTGACAGTGAAAAGCTCAGACGGTGACATGACGAACCTCACAGATGGCAGCAGAGAGACTTCCTCCAGTTCGCTCAACAGCACAGGTCTGTCTGATCTCCAGAGCTGCCACTGTTCTGGACACAGATTGTGTGATGGTTCTCATGCGCTGTTGATCATCTGTCGTTCAGAAGCCCCAGAGCCTCACGAGGAGAGTCCTGGTGAAGATCTGGAGGTTTTCTGCGAGCCCAAGCAGTTGACGCCGGGCCTGCAGCTGTACTGGGCGTCTTTCTCCCGCAGTCTGCCGGACATGGCTGAAGCTCTCGCCCACGGAGCAGAAGTCAACTGGACCAACACAGACCACGAGAACAGGACGCCGCTCATAATGGCTGTTCATGGGGTGAGGAGAACACATCAGACCTGATCGATTGGTGTGAAAGAGCCAGATTCACTTCTTCATGACATTATACACAACTATTCTTGTGTGTGTGTGTGTGTGTGTGTGTGTGTGTTTGGGGTTTTTGTTTTGTATTGTTTTTTGTTTTGTTTTCTGTTGTTTTTGGCTTTTTTGGTTTTCTTTTATCTGTTTTGTTTTGTGTTGTTGTTTTTTTCTGTTTTTCTTTTCTTTTGTGCATTTTTTTGGGTGTTTTTTATTCTTTTGTTTTGTTGTTTTTTATTTTCTTTTGTGCATTTTAAGTTTTTGTGTTATCTTTTGTGTTTTGTTTTCTTTTGTTTTTTGTTGTGTTTTTGTTTTCGGTTGTGCATTTTGTTAAATTTTTGTTTTTTTGTTTTCTTTTGTACGTTTTATTTTAATTGTGTGTGTCTTTGGTTCATTCTTGCTTTGTGTTTTGTTAGTTTTTTGTATGTTTTGTTTTGTGTAATATTTTGCCTTTTTATTTTTTTATTTAATTTTATTTATGAATTGTTTTTGTTGTTTGGTTTTGGCTTTGTTTCATTTGTTATTTTTGTTTTGTTTTTCTGCTTTGTTTTGCTTTTTGCTTCGTCTCCCTACAACAGTTAAATATACACATTAGGTTATTTTACTTCTAAAATAATGTTAGTTCTTTACATTAAAATACTAAATGGTCCTGGTTTTATTGTATGATTCATCAGTGCATGCCAAATTTAAATGTGAAATGCATCACATTACAGAAGTGTTATGGATTATGAATGCTGTTTTATTTTTATCTTCTGGCAAAGGCTTGAAAGTGTGTGATGAGTTTATCACACGTGTGTCTGTATCAGGGGTCTCTGGCCAGCTGTGAATTCCTGCTCCAGAATTCGGCCAGCGTCAACCAGCAGGACAATCTGGGCAGAGGGCCTTTACATCACGCCACTCTCCTGGGACACACCGGGTCAGTTCTGCTCAACACTCAGGTCTTGTTTCGTAAATGGTTTGTTTCTGTTCCGTTGCTTGAATGTTGTGCACATTTCTTAGTTGTGACTCCTGGTTTAATGTTATGATTTTTTTTTTTGCTGCTGCAGGCAAGTGTGTTTATTTCTGAAACGGGGAGCCAATCAGAATGCAGCAGATGTCGAGAATCAAACGCCGCTTTCAATCGCGGTCAAGGCAGCAAACGCTGATATTGTCACGCTGTGAGTTGCCATTGCTGTTTGTGTTTGTACCTTTTGAAAAAGAAAGCAGTGTCGAGACATTAAGTGTTAACGGTTGAATGTGTTTCTGTGTGTGCAGGCTGCGGCTGGCCAAGATGAACGAGGAGATGCGGGAATCCGAGGGTCTGTATAGTCAGTCAGGTCAATATAACTCTAACAGCCTCACTGAAATGCAGTATCGGAAATGTATGGAGGAGTTCATTAACTTACAGCTCAGAGACTCCTGATGTATGCCGAAATCACCACAACCTGAAGCAAACGCACAAAACCAGTGAATGTACACAGCTATCACATGAAGCTGAGCTTCAGCTGGCCCCAGGATGGGTTCATCTAGCTTAGTATTTGAATGTAAAGTGAACAATAATAGGACATGTGCAATAACTAGTCTTGTGAAAGAGTGATGTGAAAACATGCACCTTATTTACATTGTGTGTATGTGTCTTAAAACGGTCGGTCTGTAAGAGTAGTGTAATGAAAGCTCGGCCCACTCAGTATATTCAGGATCACTCTGGCGCATTCCTGATATTTATCACAATATTATACTTGAGGAAGTGAAATCAAATCAGTATGTTTATAAATATTACATTTGTGAAGACATAGTAGATCTGTATAATTCAGTGTTAGACAACACTGTATTTGACCATAGATAATATATCAGTAATTAGGAATGCATGTTTTGTTAACGATGACAGTAAAAAAAAAAAATGTATCTATATTGAAAATCTATTTTAGCACAAAGTAACACTTTTTTTTTTAACTTTTAAAAAAATATTTGATGTAGCAGCCTTTGGTTTTATGCAGATCAGTTGAAATTTGACAGAATTTACATTACAGAAAGAAATAAAATGAGAAGATATTCACACGTTTAGCATTAATCATATAAATATATAATGTTATATATAATTGGTCAAATTAACACATTTAAATTTATTAATTAATATGTAAATTATATTTAATATATTTTGTAATTTATTTATATATATATATATATATATATATAATTTTAAAATAATTAAATTATATGTAATTGTCTGTAAAATTTTATTTTATAGTTTTTTGTAAAATAGCTAAAATATTTTAAGTAATTAGTGTATTTATGTATATTACAAGATAAATTTGACCGTCTGAATGTTGCTATAAATATGATATTTTGATCATTTAATTTAGTTTAAGTGAATGTGCCAAATGAGTTGTCCCGATTATTAGCAGGAGCTGCAGTACTGCATGGGTCTCAGAGGGGCGCAGTAGAGCTGGACTCTACACCCCACTGCTGCTGTTCAGACACATACAGAGGCTTTCATCTTCCTCTGCTCCATTTGGCGACAGATGTTTACCTCTTTGATTTTCACTGATTTTAATTGAGCTCTTTTAAACAAAATCTTATATTTAAACTTCTAAGCATCGTATCATTCCTGCAGTTTCTTTACAGAGCAGTCTAAAAGCATTCTCAGGCTTATTAGGATGCAAATAAAGGTCGGAAATGATGGTATTATTATATATAATTCTGCAAAGCAATGTTGTATGTGTTATTTCTGAACAGCTCTCTTCATGTATCTGCTTTATTTCTCACTGTTATGACACTGATTGTTATTTTATGTGGTAATTATGTATCACACGTAACTCGTATTGAACCCAGAATGTTTCTTTAAACAGAAATCAACACACTTTGCCAAACACTTGACAGTATTTCATCAAAATGTGTTTTATGTGCTACTAAATGATAAATATCAAGAGAGCTTGATGTAAACGGTCAGTAAATCTACTTCATCTGCATCATGTGCTTTTCACCTCTGCGTTTCCTCCTTTCCTGCTGCTGCGTTCTCTGAGTTTCTGCTGTGAGGTAGCACAGGTATGCGCTCCTCTCTCTGTCTGGAGTTTTGAGTTTTGAGTATAGACGCACGCACTCTACTTCCTCCATAATCGAGCTGTTTTCTCTTTGCAGGAGATGAGACGTACCAGGACATCTTCCAAGACTTCTCTCAGATGGCATCGAACAACCCAGACAAGCTCAACCGCTACTGAGCGAACACAGCAGACTTCCTCAACATTACTGCAGTGTGGGATTTCTTCCAAATCGGATTGGCTGCAGATTATTGTGCATAATATAAAATGTTTTCATCATTAGGTTTTGTCTTCATTGACATGATTTTTTTTTTATATATGAAATCAATGGTGCTGCCCACATAATCTGGGTGACACCAGCAGAATTGTTGCATTTTTATTGTAAACGTTTCAAATGTGACCCTGCAGCACATGTGTGCAGGCTGCGGCTGGCCAAGATGAACGAGGAGATGCGGGAATCCGAGGGTCTGTATAGTCAGTCAGGTCAATATAACTCTAACAGCCTCACTGAAATGCAGTATCGGAAATGTATGGAGGAGTTCATTAACTTACAGCTCAGAGACTCCTGATGTATGCCGAAATCACCACAACCTGAAGCAAACGCACAAAACCAGTGAATGTACACAGCTATCACATGAAGCTGAGCTTCAGCTGGCCCCAGGATGGGTTCATCTAGCTTAGTATTTGAATGTAAAGTGAACAATAATAGGACATGTGCAATAACTAGTCTTGTGAAAGAGTGATGTGAAAACATGCACCTTATTTACATTGTGTGTATGTGTCTTAAAACGGTCGGTCTGTAAGAGTAGTGTAATGAAAGCTCGGCCCACTCAGTATATTCAGGATCACTCTGGCGCATTCCTGATATTTATCACAATATTATACTTGAGGAAGTGAAATCAAATCAGTATGTTTATAAATATTACATTTGTGAAGACATAGTAGATCTGTATAATTCAGTGTTAGACAACACTGTATTTGACCATAGATAATATATCAGTAATTAGGAATGCATGTTTTGTTAACGATGACAGTAAAAAAAAAAAATGTATCTATATTGAAAATCTATTTTAGCACAAAGTAACACTTTTTTTTTTAACTTTTAAAAAAATATTTGATGTAGCAGCCTTTGGTTTTATGCAGATCAGTTGAAATTTGACAGAATTTACATTACAGAAAGAAATAAAATGAGAAGATATTCACACGTTTAGCATTAATCATATAAATATATAATGTTATAAATATATATTTTTCTGTAATGGTAAAATCCTATATATATATATATATATATATATATATATATATATGAGACTTCTCTCAGATGGCATCGAACAACCCAGACAAGCTCAACCGCTACTGAGCGAACACAGCAGACTTCCTCAACATTACTGCAGTGTGGGATTTCTTCCAAATCGGATTGGCTGCAGATTATTGTGCATAATATAAAATGTTTTCATCATTAGGTTTTGTCTTCATTGACATGATTTTTTTTTTATATATGAAATCAATGGTGCTGCCCACATAATCTGGGTGACACCAGCAGAATTGTTGCATTTTTATTGTAAACGTTTCAAATGTGACCCTGCAGCACAAAAGCAGTCTTAAGTCGCTGGGGGATATTTGCAGCAATAGCCAACAATACATTGTTTGGGTCAAAATTATAGATTTTTCTTTTATGCCAAAAATCATTAGGATATTAAGTAAAGATCATGTTCCAAGAAGATATTTTGTAAATTTACTACCGTAAATATATTAAAACTTAATTTTTGATTAGTAATATGCATTGCTAAGAACTTCATTTGGACAACTTTAAAGATGATTTTCTCAATATTTAGATTTTTTTTGCACCCTCAGATTCCAGATTTTCAAATAGTTGCAAAAAAGCTTATTTATTCAGCTTTCAGATGATGTATAAATCTCAATTTTTAAAAAAAAATTGACGCTTATGACTGGTTTTGTGGCCCAGGGTCACATATAGGATTTCATTCATGGATCCATTGGTCTCTATATAGATTTTCAGATGAATGAGAGTAATGTAATATTTGAGCCATAGGACTTCATTTATGAAACATGCTGAATTAATTTTTGTGTTGATAAAACTAAGTAAATGCGACTGGTTTTACAAACAATTTACACAAATCCATTCGGCTTGTGTATCATAAATGAGGCCCATTTTAGTAAATTGCATCGGTGTATGACTGTAGAGCAAGGATTAAACAATTTACGTTTACATCATTTCGAAAAACTATACTTTCGTTACATAATTTACTTGACTATTCTACTTCAGTTTTGGAAGAGAAAATCTTGTGAAAACTCCTGTTAGCATGAACACGCCACTTTCTTTATATGTTCAAACAGTATACAAGTCAAACATATTCCTCCCACAGTGAGGGGTGTAAATTGTGTATATTCTGTACATACATTTTGGGTTGGGAAGTGTATTTTGTGGTACTTCAAATATTGTGATAAGCTTGTTTGCATTCATATTGTAATCATCTGTATGATCCATGCGCTTTTAAAGATTATTTTATCCATTGCAAATGTCTGACTGAAAATCTCAAAATATATTATAAATTGTTCTCTCTACATTTTTTAATAATGCCTTCTTTTCTTAAACATTTAGCACTAATTATATAAATATATAATGTTAATATTTTTCTGTAATATTGGTAAAATCGTTAAAGCAATATAAAATTATCGAATTATCCGTAAATTATATATATATATATATATATATATATATATAAAACGTAATTAGATTTTGTTTAGGTAGATTAAAAGATAAATATTATAGTCTGAATTAGGGGTGTGCGATATTGACAAAAAATGGTATCTTGATATTTTCTGGGATTTTATCGATGACGATAATTAGACGATAATAAGACATTTGGGCTGTTACCAAGCAAATTAAATCAACACAGAAGCTGCATCTGAAGTGGCGTTTAGATGTATTTACACACATGTATTTTGTTTAATGCATTTAACCTGCAATTACAAATGCATAACTAATGTTTTGATATATTAAACATAAAACGTTGAATACTGATATTTGAAATGATTTAAAACATGAAAAAAAGAAAAGAAAAAGAAAAAGCCGAAATGTGAATTTAAAACCGCCAGCAGGTGGCAGCAAGTCACTGTTAATAAGTGAGTCATTGCGATTGAACCGAGTCATTTAAACGGTTGATTCATTCAGGAACGAAACACCGTCATGTTGCTCAGAGACACAAAACAGCGCTGTGGCTGTATTCGGGATGATTTTTGTTGGCGAAATAGAGCAAAAACAAGCAATATGGTGTCTAAAACGCAAGTCTCTTAATTAACTTATTGTTTATTGAATTCAATGTCACCATTGTAATCATGGTATTTTTTGGAGAAAAACGGCACTCTTCGTGTGAAATTGATTAACTATATGAAGTGGTATAAATATATAAATTTTCTGCCATCATGTCTTGAATTTGAGATCATTCTAAATGCATTTTAATAGACTGAATCATGCAGTGAAAGAAAACACACTAAATGCGCACACGCACTAGTCTAGACTTCACGTAATGTATGCGTGCGCTCTGTAGGGATGTTTTGAATGGTTTTTGCAAAATACTCGATAATGTCAAATCGCACATCGTTAAAACAACAATTACGATATTATCGCAGACGATATATATCGCACACCCCTAGTCTGAATGTTATTTTACAGACTTTGCCATTACTGAAAGGAATAAAATTACTGTATGTAATTACAGTTTATGTATATTACAAGAAAAAAATTGTCAGAATTATATGAATATATTTTTAATTTTTTTACTTAAACCACTTAAAATATATATATTTTTTAAATCAAAATTCTAGTCTAAACCAATGTGTTAAACTAACAGTCTAAGCCGTCTCGTTTCGACCTTACATTATCAGATTGTATAGTCGTCTCCCATGCAGCGGGGGTTGCCATGTTTGTAATAGGCACAGCTCTGCGGCAGAGGCTGATGTTATGTGCGGTCTCTCTATAACGCAGCAGCCATTCAGTGATGGGCGACCTCATGCCCCTACCAGCTGTGCACCAACTCACCTTTTCATATCATGCTTTTATAAACTGGGAACATTACCCATCACACTGCTTCAGGTGCTTTATTTATAAACCTCGTAAAATAAGAAGGCTCAAGCCATGCATTATGGTTATTGCTAAGGTTAAATCCAACGTGAATAAGTGACTCAACCAGTTTCATTAGTGGGTAATGTGCAAAAAGGGTGGTAGGCACTAAAACTGTTGCAAGTGAAAGCGTGTCAATTAATCATCATATTGAGAAACTTCATTAGCTTATATCTGGCAAATGAGTGAAAAAGTATGGTGATTTAGTATGTGCCTAGTTATATCTATAACTGGTGTCTGACAGAAGGTATTGTCCTATGGGGAAGACGTAGGCCAGTTAGTGTGGGTCATGTTTGAAAATGTCCATGGCTCATATCTACAAAACCTTTTATCAAAGGAATTCTCTGAAGACTGGAAAGGTCGAACCAATGTTGTTAAATGGGATGGTTTTGTCGCTTAGCAACTGAGACAGTTGCGTTGACGAGCGATAGTAACATTTGTACTTTGTACTGTAGATGTGTCAACATTTAAACTACTTTGAAGTGTGTTGTAACGTTAGATATTCAATTAAATTGAAACCCAGTACTTACCTTTAAAAGTCAAACCAACATTTTCTCTCAAAAACTCCCGTCGTCTCACATGCACGCAATGACTCTTGGGATAGTCTGGGCTCTGAAGGATCCATCTGTAGTAACCTAAATGGACCGTGTTTGAAGGAGCCTTTGAATTGGGACTACCTTTGTTGCGCCTCTGTGATGCATTTGGTCTTCGAATGCAGCCTTTGAATTCGGACACAGCTATAGATTATGTAGACCAGTGGTTCCCAATCTGTGGTCTTATTGCACATTTTAGATGTCTGCCTAATCAAACACACCTGATTCAACTCATCAGCTCATTAGTAAAGACTCCAAAACCTCAAATGTGTTTGTCAGGTTAGAGCAAGGGTCTCCAAACTCAGTCCTGGAGGGCTGGTGTCCTGCAGAGTTCAGCTCCAACCCTAATTAAACACACCTGAACCAGCTAATTGAGGTCTTAAGCCGGATTTATACTTTCGCCTGGCTCCGCTTCGCGAGCCTCCACTGACTGCGCGCGCACCTTCCCAAACGGACGAGGCTTTTATACTAGTTGCATTCGCCATTGTACTATTCTTTGAAACAACAGGGGGCGACGAGGAGTAATTGTCCTTTAAAACCACTGGGAATCACCGGTGCACTCAAAGCGAACTTCCGCCAACACCGCGATGATGTCATATTTGCCGCGCGCACCTAAGCGAACTTGCGGACGCATCGAGTATAAATCAGCCTTTACTAGGCATACTAGAAACTTGCAGGTAGCTGTGTTGAGGCAAGTTGGAGCTAAACTCTGCAGGAAAACCGGCCCTCCAGGACTGAGTTTGGAGACACCTGGGTTAGAGAGACCAGGATTGGGAGCCACTGATGTAGAGCAGGGCTAGCCAACCCTGCTCCTGGAGGGCGACCTTCCCACAGGCTTCTGTTTCAACTCTGTCCCAACACGCTCTTAAAGTAATCTTGAACAACTTGATTAGCTGGTTTAGGTGCGTTTGATTAGGGTTGAAGCTAAACTCTGCAGGAACAGGGTTGGCTACTGCTGATGTAGACCTGAAAATCCTAGCAAACCCCTCTTGGTAATGTCAAGGTTTGACTATAGCTCTTTAACTCTTCAAGGTCCAGAACCAGCTAAAACAGATGTGTCAGGTTCCTGCGAAGCTCCAACACACCTGTCTGGAACTTTCTAGAGATCTTGAATACATTGATTAGTTGAGGCGTGTTTAATTAAGGCTGGAGCTAATCTCTGCTGGAAGGTGGCCCTCCAGGAGCAGGACTGGACACCCCTGAGCTAAAATGTCTTCAAGAATACTAGGAAATCACAGGCAGGTGAGTTTGATCAGGACTGGAACTAAACACTGCAGAACAGTCGCTCTCCAGGACCAGAATTGAAGAGCAACTCCAGAAGTCCAGAGGTTTCTCACCTGGACTTTCTAAAGCAGGTACGGGCAATTCCCGTCTGGTCCAGCCCAGAGTTTAGCTCCATCCATAATCAAATGCACCTGAAAAAACTAACCAAGGTCTTTAGGATTTCTTGAAAATTACAGGAAGGTGTGTTTGATTAAGAATGGGGCTAAACTCGAATTGCCCATCCCGGCTCTAAACCATCATAAGAGGTTTCATCCTACATGATTTTTCAATTATTTGCTGGGTTTCTGCCAGATGTGTACCCTTTCCTATGGCTTGAAACAGTTGCAACAGTGGCATGGCTGATCTTGCTAACTGCCTCCAGTCATCTGGTGTCTAATAACTGAACGCAGAAGGAAACCTCAGTTCATTAATTTTGAAACTGGGTGACCCATCTGTCTGGTGTGCCATGTCATTTCCTTCCTGAAATCGCTGAACTGATGCACTGGAGAAATTATTGCATTGACCGCTTCGTAAAATCGAACATTAACAGTGACCTGGGAAGGGTGAGCGTATAAGACAAATCAAGCAATGTGAAATGGTTTTAAAA